CTGGGTTCCTGTATTTGTGTTTTTATGCTTAATTCTCAACTAAATTTCTATTACAGCTAGACATATCGCCTTTTGCTATTTTCCACATATGAAAAGGTATTTCGGGAAAATGACATAGGATGGTAGATGGAACATGGTATTCATTGAGCCCAGAGTTCTCTGTCTTGCCATAGTTTTTGGGTGGGCCATGTCCAAAATCCGTATGTTCAGCTTCCACCGGGCTATAATACGGGATTAGGTTACTGCCTCGTCTCTGAATATGATAGTAATAGAAGAGGTCGCAAGTTTCTCACCAACTTGATTTTTCTTGTCTCTCTCCTTCCCCAGAGATTATTTGGTCTAGTTGTTGGGATTAGTTGAAGGGTTTGCTTTTTCATCTCTAAGGCCTTTGTGCTTCTGAAATTTCACGGCTTTATGAAATATATACTCACTGCTGATCCTCGACACATGGGAATTCTAGGGTTTCATGAATGGACAAGTTAAGCCGACAAGATTTATGTACTCATGGAGGAGGTGGCCCAGATGTGGGGAAGACTCAGGCAGCATTCTTACTGAAGAGGTAAGACCAAAGTGCTTGATTGCCTGGAAGACATCACAGGTCATGTGTGGTGGCTGTTGGTGCTGAGTTTAGGGACAGATCAGTGGAGGACTAGGACGTTAGCAAAGCTTCCTTAGAGAAGCCAGCCCTGCTTAGGCCCTGTATGGTGTCCTGTTTGGAGCATGCAGAACAGTGTAGGAAGATTACTGGGCACTGATGTCAGTTGGGGGAATGGGCACTTCGGCTCCTGACCTGGTGGGGCTATGACTTAGGCCAGTGCTGGAGTGCAGCAACTTGGAGTGACTTTGATAACCAAGAGAGAACATAGAGGAAAATGCAAACAAAGCAGCCTTGTGTACGTTGCAGTGTGGAACATCCAGCATGGGGAAGACAGCCTCTGTCTCCTGATTGGACCGATGTCATTACATGGTACAGCTCAGTGATGAAGACATGGAATCATCATCCTGAGTCATCAACAAGACTTAACTCATGGAGTGCATAGTTTACTCTCTGTGAGATGAAGAGGCTGACTAAGTTGTACACATGCTGCTCAAACCATGCTGATCTACATGGAAGACCAGGGATTTAATTCCCCAGACAAACTGTACATGTTGGGTGTGTGATCCTGGTTGACTGGGAAGGCTGAGGCTGAAGGTTGGCAAGCATTGGGGGGGATTGTGGTATGAAACCCTGCCAGGGTGCTTGTCTCTGTCTCTGTCTGTCTCTTATGAAATTATTAAACTTAAAATTTTAAAAAGTGAAAAAAATATATTAGATTTTAATCCAAAAGATCTCAGCCATTTTTTTTTATTTGGCTGTTTCATTATGTCTTACTTTTAGTTAGTGGAAATTCTCCTTCCCTGATATTGCTAGCTATGCCAAGTGTCACACAGACCGTTTTCTGTAAGCGAGAGTGTTCATAACTCTTGGAGTCATTGGTAAACTTCACCCTGAGAGCCCTCCAGCTTTGCGTCAGCTTGTCAGCCTGTCAGCCCAGGAGGCGGGCCAGGCCCATAGCTGGTTCTGAGTCATTCGGGTGCTTTTGCTGAGATGTCAGTGCTAGAGAAGGATGCCTGCACTTTTTCCCTTGTTTGGCTTTTTTGAGCAAAGGCTCTTGAACTTTAGAAGGACTCTGAGGCTGATGCATGTAGCATTGGGGGCTGTAGGCCCATAGTACCCTCCCTCTTATTCCTGGGCATTTCCCATTGGCTCTAGAGCATTGCTCTGAGATGGGCTGTCAGGTAGGCTGCAGAGTAGTCCCAGTTTGGTGAGCGTTGCCCGAGGCTCTGTGCTGGAAGGGAGCTAAGCAGATCCCCTTCTGAGCTGGGCATGGGCAGAAGCCACAGTGTGCTCCTCTGTGGTCAATGGGTGGAGGGATTGAGAAACACCAGCTCTGGCCCCAGCTGAGTATGTGGGATTCCCTGGGCTCTGCCTTGTGGCTTGGCTAAGCAGAAAAGCAAAACCCAAAGACCAAAGGAGGCTTGATGATGGGCCTGGAAAGAACCTCTTTAATTTTTAAAGCCTTTTAATTTTTAAAGTGTGATCAGGGAAATAATTTTCCTTTAGAGTTCAGGGGCCTAGAGATGTTTCCATGTCAGTATAAGAGTATAAGATGAAGTCATTAGAACCCCAGTGCATCCGTGCATAGAAACTGACATTTATTTCTATGCAGAGGGGCTCCAATGTGGAGCAGAAAGTGGTCTAGGGACACAGGGAGTGTTTGCATGCATGTCATCAGAGGAAGGGCTGTGGTTAATCTCTGCATGGAGCAGGAGACAGAGAAGCACTTGCTCCTTTCTGGAGCATGCTACATGTGGGAGGGCAAGGAGGAGCTTGGGACCATGCTGAGCTAGAGCTCACAGGAACAAGATCTGCAGGACAAGCCGAGAGCACTTCTGGATAAAGATCTATAGAGACTCCCAAACCTCTACTCAAGAGCTATCGTATTAGGGAAGCTTGCAGCCTGCCCTGTCCCAGGCGGTTGGCTCAACCCCGTGAATTCCAGAGTGAGAGCATGCCCATTGTCACTTAACTTATGTCCTATGTACCTGGCTCAGGAACCGTTCCTTCCATCTATCTCTGTTCTCTGTGCTTGGCAGGTGCAGGCATTTAAATATGATGATGAGTAAGTGACTGAGGAACCAGATGCCTGAGACTTTCAAATAGGGATTTGCTCAGACGCATCTCCTATTTCCATTTCACCAGGTTTCCTCTGACAGTGTTCCCCAGCTTCATGAGCGTGCATATCTAGGATGATACTAGGCACCAACTGAATGCAGTCACTGATCAAGGCACTGTTGGGGATATAGCTAAGAAAGCTTGGCCATGACTCTACTCTCAAGGAGGTTATCAGACTTACTTTTGGACCATTTTTAGATTCTGCTAAACTCTTAAAGCAAAACCACCAGAGAAGCTAAGCAGAGAATTGACAAAATCTACAACTGAGGCCTAGCCTTGGTGGTGCAGGTGGCCAGATACTGATCTATGGTTCTGGAAGCTACGGGGCTAACCATGGATTTGGATCCCAAGTTGACTTGAAACACACCAAGCATGCATCCCAGTTCCTGAGGAGCGGAAGGCTGGGAGAAGAGACCAGAACCTGTTGAAGGTGTCTGGGTCTCTCATGCATGCATACTTGTACATACTCTCTCTCATAAAGATAAATAAGTACAAATACTTTAAAAGGAAAAAAGTCTCCAACTTATAGTTAGAAGCTGCCTTGTCTTGGTATGAAGTGAAACAGTGAAGCTCCCTGAGCCATTCCAAGTGTGTTGAAACACAGCATGGTCATCCAGGAATCAAAGCAGTTCTGTCCTCGTGCTCCAACTATTGTAAATAATCCTTTGTAAACTGATCTACTCAGAGTATGAGGAAGGGAAACCTAAAGGGCAAGATAAAAATATATGTGTGGTATTTAGCACACTGGTAGATGGTGAGCAATGCAGAGAGCTGGAGATGTCAGCATAAATACTTACACAGAGGCTGCACGTTATAGGACAGAGCCCAAGTTGGAGGTTTCTCAAGTCACATCAGAGTTCCAGCTCTACTGATTGATAGGTGAATGCTAGTGCAGGTCATAAATTTTAAAAATTTACTATAGGGTGTGTACATTTGCTGGAGAGAGACAGAAAGGGGAGGTGAGAAGGAACCCCTCTGGTGGATGATCATACTGCAATCCCTTCTCCCTCATTTCTCATTTTGGGATTTTTGGCATGCATGCACATGAACCTCGCATGTTTTTTTAAGTCATCAGATCTGGGATTCAGACCATGCAATCACCCATGGGGGATCTAGTCACTATAACCACCATACCACCAGCTGGCCTAGGTCATAGATCTATCTTTCTTTCTTTCTTTCTTTCTTTCTTTCTTTCTTTCTTTCTTTCTTTCTTTCTTTCTTTCTTTCTTTCTTAGTATTTATTTAATTCCATTTGTCATTATTATTATTTTTTTATTTGACCAGAGAGCACAAAAGGGAAAGTGAGAAAGTAAGCTGCCAGCCAGGTCCAGGACTCAAACCGCACTCAGCCCTGTCAGAGTCCAGCATCTTAACCGCCACACCACCAGCTGACGTAGGTCATAGATTGTTGAGCCTGCTTTCATACCTCGAATGTAGGCTCCAATGAGATGAGGTTATAAGAAGCCTTGCTGTATTATTGCAAGTTGCTAGTGTCCTGCAGCTTAGACCAAGAGGGATTTTTTTCTTGGCACCCACTCATTGCCAAGTATGGGTGCCCTCCGCACATCTGCTCTCCTCTTGTTGATGTTACTACTCTGTTCCCTACTACTCACTAAGGATTCAAGCAGGTGATATATTGGAGACTTTGGACATGGGGAAAGGGATCGTTGCCTTCACACCTGTTTGTCAAGCACTAGAGACAGCAATTTAAGGGGCAGGAGGCCTCTTAGTCCAAAAAGGTCAAAAGGTCTCTACTGAGGCTTGCTTGTAAGTGGACTCTACCCTGTTGGGGATATAGTGGTTCTGATATGTGTTAAACCTGACACCCCTGGTTCTGTACACCCCACCGGCATTGGAGACAAAGCCCTGAGCTGGGCCTAAGGAACTTGAATCCATTGTTCTTTCACCCATTAGCTCTGTGACCAGAGGCAGGCCTCTTGCCCTTGTTGGGGTCCTAAATTTCCTCTTTTGTAGTCTGAGGAAGATAGGAAAAGTTCTGTGTAACCTAAACCTACTTGTAAGTTCTGAATCATACCTTCTTTCAGTACTTGCTAGAAGGGACATGGCTCATGACATACCCTCGGACAGGGCACAGAAGCCTCTTGGCAACAGGACTTATTTCTGTCTTTTAATTGTCATCCTGGGGACGGAAAGTGTGGCGGATCCCAGTGGGCTTCTGTGTGAGGTTCTTCTTGGTGTTTTACTTGACCCCAAAGAGGATTTCCCACTTAGGACCTGCCTATTCAATGAAAATGCTATGCATTAATTTTGCCTTTTTTCCCAGTATCCAGAGAGCAGCGTTGGTGGTTCTGGAAAATTATTATAAAGATTTCACCATCTATAACCCGAATCTCCTAACAGCCTCCAAATTCAGAGCAGCCAAGCACATGGCCGGGCTGAAGGTCTACAACGTAGACGGTATGTATCCTGGTCTGGGTCTGTGCTGTGTACGAGGGCACAGTCAGGAGACGACCCAGTTTGAACTGTATGGTACATTTGATTCTTCCCCTCGGTGCTTATCTTCACAGTACCTTCTCATTTTAGAACAATCTCTTTCCTTTTTCTTTTTCTTTTGTTTTGTTTTTAACATGCAGGCAGACATTTTCAGAGGAATATCAACTTACAATCTATACATGTGAGAAGTTCACTCGTTTTGGGTTTTTATGACTTTAAAGGCTGCTTCTTAAATTTGATAAGTTACTAAAAGATTCAGAAAGCTGCCTGACTCTATTAAGAGTAGAAATCTCAGTAGTTTAAGCATCTAGTGAGCTGTTCCTTATAGGCATTTCTTAGTCCTGGCCAAGGGCTAGGGTTGAATGAATGGCAAGAGGCGGAAGGCCAGGCTGGGGAAGTGTAAGCTGGGTTTCAGGATATCACATGGTTTCATGCAAGAAACAAGAGATGGTGTCATTTCTTGCTGGGCACCTTGGGTCAGGGCAAGAGCTTTGCAAACCCTAGAACAAGATCATGTTGTCAACAAGGCAGGTGATTTAAACACAGCATCCGTTTGAGTGGCTGTAACTCCCCATTTATTTTTGGCTCTATGAAATCTTTGCTTCCCTCATGAATCCTAAACGATTAGTAAATTTTACCTGTGATCTGAAAACTTATCAAACATTCTCACTAGTGAAACTGAGTCACCAGCTAAGCAGGCCACTCATACCAAAGCCTGAAATCTGCCTAATCTGTCTGAAAAGCTGTTGGGATGTGGTCAGGGGCAGGGAATGAGACAGGAGTCCTGTCTGTCTTAATAAGCAGGTTGATTTGTTCTCAGCACTGCCATTTCCTGCACACATGATGGGTGCCATGACATCCAGCATAGCTTGTTTGTCTGTGTGTCCCATGTCCTTTGACTTTCTTTTTTCTCTGCCTGTCCTTGTCCTCCTCATCGCTCTCATTCTCTGTCATTGTGTTGTTGCTGAAAATGTGAGGTCCCACCTGTCCTTATGGCCAAACAGAATCTTTACGTAGCAGTTGGTAAGTAGCACGTTTGATGCTCCTCTATGTGTTGTTTCTGGCCAACATTTTAATTCTCAAGCATTTTTTCATCCCCTTCCAAGTTTGTTTTCCATTTCCACTGGTCAGATTGTGGTTTAGGGGCATGTCCTTGCCCTTGTGCCTTGGGCTCAGTGAATTTAGCGTCAAGGTACTATTCACCCTCCTAGGAAGCTATTTTAGGATTTGTGTGTGTGCTTCGGAGGGGGCGGGTTGGAGGAGTCCGACCTGGTAGGGCTCCTCCAGTGGGTGGCTTGTATCAACAGACTGTGGTACTAGTTTTCTGCTGTTTCCCAGGCTCCTGGTTTTAAAACTGTTGTTCTCTGCCATCCTCTCTCCACAGGCCCCAGTAACAATGCCACTGGTCAGTCCCGGGCCATGATTGCTGCAGCCGCTCGGCGCAGGGACTCCAGCCACAACGAGTTGTACTACGAAGAGGCCGAACACGAACGGCGCGTGAAGAAGCGGAAAGCCAGGTATTGCCCTCCTAACACCCTCTCGTAGACTCTTTTTCCTTTTCTTTTCTTACTGCTAGAATACAATTTCAGTGAACAGTCATGACCTGCATGGCCGCTTGGCGTGAACTTTGGTCCAGTGTTTCTCCAACATGAGCATCACACTAAAGGGTGGGCTCGTTAAAACACAGGTCACAGATTCAGGCCCCACCTGCAAAGTAGGGCCCAAGAACTGTGTTAGCTGCCTTAACCACCACTCTACCTGTGGCTGGCAGGTAGAGTGGTGGTTAAGGCATTGGGCTTCCATGTGGCCAACCTCAGTTCAAATCTTAGACTTGGCTGCTTAAAAATTATACCGGGTGTGTGTGTATGCAAGCCCCAAATCCCAGGAGAATGAAGAAGAAGGGATTGTGCCATGGCCATCCTCCTTCCAGGTCCTGTCTGACTCTCGTCCCAAGCCCCGCACAGGCACTGTCCCAATTACTGTGTTTCATTTCCAGGCTGGTGGTTGCCGTGGAAGAGGCCTTCATCCATATCCAGCGTCTGCAGGCCGAGGAGCAGCAGAAAGCTCCAGGAGAGGTGATGGACCCCAGGGAGGCTGCTCAGGCCATCTTTCCCTCCATGGCCCGGGCGCTGCAGAAGTACCTGCGCACCACGCGACAGCAGCACTACCACAGCATGGAGAGCATCCTGCAGCACCTGGCCTTCTGCATCACCAACAGCATGACCCCAAAGGTGCGCTGCTCCGGGCAGCTCTACCCACCTTGGCCCAACTTGTCACTGAGCTTCTTTCTAGAAGCAAAAAGTCTTTCCTAAAACACCAAGTAATAAGAATGAGTGGTTTCCACTTATTTTATATTGTCCTTCTGCAGTTGTTTATCAGATGTGCCTCTTGGGGCCAGCTAGTCACATGGTGGTTAAAGTGGCTGGGCCCCATATGGCCAACTATGTTGGTCGAGTCCTGGACCTGACAGCTTGAGAAACACACTGGGCGCATGTGCACTCACGCTCAAAAACCCAAGAGAGTTCAGAACCACAGATGGCGTAATGGTTACCGTGTAGATGACTGTGGTTCAAGTCCCAGACCTGGAGGCTTAAACTCCCACAAGGTGTGTGTGCGTGAGTGCCCAAAATCCCAAGAGGAAAATGGAGAAGGGATTGCTTGTGTCTATCCCCCCAGGGGATGATTTCTTGCTTTCTGTCTGTCTGTCTGTCTGTCTTTCCAGCGAGCCCACGAGCCCTATAGCAAAAACCTCTCTTTAAAAAAACAAACAAACAAAACAAAAAAAAAAAGGAGAAATGGAGGAGAAGGGATGGCAGCGTGACCATGCTTCATAACAGATGCTTTCTCACTTTTCTTCTCCTGTCTTTCACTCTTTGGAAAATTCGCATGACCTCTGGCAAATTAAAAAAAGAAAAAATTGTGACTTTCAGAGGCTTCTAGAATATAGCAAAGAATTTCACTTAGAGACAGTACAGTGTATTGGTTAGTGGCACACTCTGGGCTTTGGCGCCTAATTGATTCATTTTTAACCCGGCTTCTGTGCCAACTAGTTGTGTAACCTTGGTCTAATGGCTTAATGGCTCTGTGCCTCAGTTTCCCGACCTATACATTGGGGCCGTGGGAATAATCTAATACCTACCTCACTGGGTGGTTGTGGGAAATAGGGGTTAGTTCATGTGAAGTGCTTGAAGTAGGCCATTCCTGTATAAAGACTGAGGTAGCCATTTTCATTAGTTGTAGGAATAAAGCCTTGTTTTGCTAAGCATTTTGGATGTTGTGGAATTAGATTTGCTGAATGGTCTTTGGTTTATGTTAGCACACTTATAGGGGTATGACAAGCCACGCATCTAATAGAGAGGTACAGCAAATGACCTCTCTTCAGACAGACATGATTCAAATCCTGATTCCATCACTTAACTGGTCTGTGACTGTGCACAAGGTACCTTCCATTTGTTTTCGTCTATTTATTTTTTTTTAGGGAGATTTTTTGCTATAGGGCACGTGCGCTTGCCAGAGAGATAGAAAGCGAGAAGTGACCCTCCCAGGGGGGATGACCACGCCGCAGTCCCTTCTCCATTTTCCTCTCAGGTTCTTGGGCACCCGCACACATGAGCCCAGTGTGTTTTAAGCCACTGGGTCCAGGACTTGAACTGCATTCAACTACATGGAAGCCCATCAACATAACCATTATGCCATCTGCTGGTCATATTGTTTCCTCTTTAAGAAAATAGAAATATGTACCTGAAAGGGTTGTTGTGTAAGAACCGTATTAAATATTGCAAGATGGCATGTAAATCACATGGTAGAGAATATAATCCTCGCTGTGTGAGAAAAGGTTTGTTCTCATGAGAGCGGACTGTGGTAAAAGGAAGATGGCTGCCCCAGGGTGCTTTCTGAACATCCTCGCTGTCCTAGTGGCTTCTGTCAGCCCAGCCTGCTGTGACAAAGGCCCCCCTGAGGCCAGCCCTGCACCTTCGGACTTTGCGGCTACCAGGATTGCGAGTCAGATGATCCTCTGTCCCTTATAAATCACCCAGTTCCAGGTATTTCTGTCCGCAGTGCAATAGCGAACCAGGACAGGGAGAAGAATAACAGAAATGGAAGCATACTAAATGAATATTGAGGAAACTTGTTTTTTCATTTAAATCTATCCCTAGCCTGTCTTTTCATGTCTGTACGTACAGATCGAATTCCTTCTCTGAAATAGCTGCATCTTATCCCCTGAATGCCATGATTTGCTTAACTGATTGACTAGTTTTGCATGTTAGGATAAGATTTTTTTGTTAGTCAAAATCAGGAGTTGGCTGGCTTTTTTTGTTTTGTTTTGTCTTTTTTTTGGAGAGGTTTTTGCTATAGGGCGCGTGCACTCACCAGAAAGACAGAAAGAGACAGAGAGACAGAAAGCAAGAAAGCACCCCCCAGGGGGATGGCCACACCCTAATCCCCTCTTCTCCATTCTACTCTTGGGATCTTGGGCACGTACGCACATACGCCCGGCATGAGTTTACGCACATAGGCCTGGCATGAGTTTAAGCCACCGGGTCTGGGACTCAAACCGTGGTCGACTACATGGGAGTCCAGCGACATAGCCATTATGCCAACTACTGGTCCCCAAGTTGGCTGTTTTTGTTGACTGGGTTTCATTGGAACGTGGCCACACCCTCCTACATATTTACATGTCACCTATGGCTGCTTTCAGTCTGTACTCATAGAGCCGTGTAGTTATGAGAGTATGGCTTGAAAAGATGAAAATATTTACATAGATAGAACAGTTTGCCAACCCTTGTGTTAAATAGCATTGGAGTGAATATCTTCATTGTATGTGTATTTGTGGGTTCATTTCTGAAGGATACATTTCTAGTAGAGGAACAGCTGCCTCAAAGGTACAGATCTGCCAGTTTGTCCTCTTAATTTATGCTCTTGCTTCTGGGATCTGAGACTTTTTATTTCTTTGCACATTTTAGTGTTATTATTCCTTTTAATCATTGCCCATCAAGAGAAAGAAAGTGTATTTTATTATTTTAATTTATAGTCCTTTAATTATTAATGGTAGGATACTTTTTGTGTTAATTTTTCATTTAATATTTTTTCTTCCGTGAATTATTTTGCTAATTTCTAATTGTTGAGTTCTTTTTTAATGATTCATAAGAGCTATTTTTATATTAGCAGTGTGAAAGTTAAGCAAGATTCTGCTTTCTGCTTTCTGCTTTAGAATCAGTGCCCTACAGATGAGAAGTAAAGTATCTGGCAGTAGCAATGGGACATGGATGCCAGGAGATAGATACCACTGAGCAGTGTCTAGGACCAAACCAATATATCTTGGTATTTCACTATCTGTATTGGCTCATTCTGTCTTCCTCTTCTTAGAGCTAAATCAGTGCATGAGGGGACTTCAAACAGTTCATGAGAAAATGCAATTAAAATATAAACTTTTTTTGATGCAAAGAAAGTTGAAATTTATGTATGCATAGTTTTTTCATAGTATACATGTTCCATAAACTTTTTTTTTTTTTTAATGAGAGGTTTTGGCTATAGAGACAGAGAGACAGAAAGTGAGAAATCACCCCCCAGGGGGATGGCCATGCCACAATCCCTTCTCCTCCATTCTGTTCTCAGGATTCTGGGCACATACCTACATGTGCCTGGCATGAGTTTTAAGCCGCCAGGTCTGGGACTCAAACTGTGGTTGCCTACATGACAGTCCAGCAATGTAACCATTATGCCATCTGTTGATCCTTTTCCATAAACTTTTTGAACACCTCTTCATATTTATTGACTTAATTCACATGGTGCTGAGGTCCTAGTATGGGCCAGACATACCAGAAAGTCAGATTTGAAACAAAGCAAAGCAAAACGAACAAACAAAAACAGTACATAGTTTCTACCCTCTAGGAGAGTGAAATCCAGTGTGAGGAGCAGAAAAGCAAGGCATAGTCACTGTTCAGAAAGTCAAATGTCACATAAGAGCCCTGCCAGTGAGTACCGGGCCTTAGAGGAGGGCCTGTCAGCTCATCCGAGTGGTTTAGGGAAGTGGTCTGAGAAGATCTGAAGGGCAGGAGGAATTTGCTGAGTGGGGCGTTGGCAGGAGGAACAGCACATCTGTAGGCACACTGCAGTCAGAGTTCCAGAGGATGTGGCTAAGTCCGCTCAGCCCGTGAACTTACCGTGTGCACGCTCAGGCCAGCGTGTGATGATCATCACTCACGTTGGTGGTGCTTACTTCGCCAGGAGTGCTTATGTGAGTTAACCTTTTCACCTCGTGGAGCCCTGTGAGTTAGGAAGGGATATTATCTCCATGTACATAGAGGGATATACTTTGTGCAAAGTCACACAACTAGTAAGTGGTGGAGCATGCATTTTGGTGCATGCAAGTATGTTTCTATATTTATTCAGCTCGTGTTTACTGAGTGCTCCTCTGCCCAACATTTGCCTTGGCCCAGAGGAACTTGGAGTAGAGGAAGAAGAGATAGAGAGCCTTCTGCCATGGGCCCATGCCCTCGGAGTGTGGCATGCATTAGCAATGGCTTCCAGGCAAATGTTGGTACTAGGCACCCCACCTTCCCTCACCTCTGTGCTTACAGCTACCCTCACCCTCTGCTGAAAATTGACCAAGGCATGCGAGGAAGTCCAAGAAGGCTTTGCTCCGCAATAGTGATTCAGTTATTAGATTTGATGGGAATTCAACATGATAACCTAGGCTCTGGTCTGAGGACTTGTTTTACTAGGAAAATGTTTTTCACAGATGTAGGAATGGCAGGACTGGGCCAGCAGTTGGCATGGTGGTTAAGGCACTGGCTTACTGTCATAGTTTCAGACCCAGTGGCTTGAAAACACACTGGGTGCATTTGTGTGGGTGCCCACAATTCTGAGAAGAGAATAGAGGATTATGGCATGGCCATCTCCCCTGGAAAATATTTCTCACTTCCCTTTCTCTCTGGTTAGTGCATGCACCCTATAGCAAAAAATCTTTGTTTTTCTTTTTTTTTTTGCATTCAATCACTGTACATCTTTTTGTTTTAAGAGATTTTTGCTATAGGGCACATGCTCTTACCAGAAAGACAGAAAGTGAGAAATCACCCCCCCCCCCCGAGGGGGC